TGTGTATGGGTAGTGTGTAGTGTTAGGGGTGCATGTGAATGTGCAGTGGGCGGGTGTGTAGGGGCATGTGATGTGCAGTGTGTAGGTGTAGTGGTTAGTGTGTAGGTGCAGTGGTAGTGTGTAGGGGTCAGTGTGTAGGGGAAAGTGGGGGCAGTGTGTAGGTTAGTGGGGCCATTTGTGCATGTGTAGTGTGCAGTGTGTAGTGTGGTAGTGAAAATGTTTCGAATATTTTGGATCCCAATTAGGGGGGTGGGTGAGGGGAAAAATTTTTTCTCCCAAAAGTTTTTGAAAAAGTTGTAGCACCTGTGGGCTGAGATGTGTTGTTTGTTTTTGGGCCAATTTTTTGTTTTGGGATGGGGGGAGTGGTGCCTCTAAATTTTTTTTAAAGCCCCAGAAGGCTTTGGTTTTTTTTTGTTTACGCTTTTGTCCGCTTGAAAAAATTTAAATGAGCGTGCCCACTGTTTGTTGGGTTTTTGGTCTAAAACGTGTAAAAAATGTTGTTTCTGAGGTAAGTGAGATCTAATTGGACTTGATTAAATCTGTGTGTGTTGTTGAGGAAGCGGTTGTGGTAGCAGATAATTAGTCTTCTTGTTCTGATTGAGGGTTTGAAGGAATAATGAGTGGTGTGGGTTTTCTTTGGTACTGCAGTGTTGGCTGCTTGTGTAATGGTGTCCTGGATGAGATCAAGTTGAGTGTCAATGTCAGAGATAGGTTTGTTGTTGTAGTCATAGGTGAAGTTAGTATTACCTATGTGTTGTTTGAAGGCATCCCAGTCAGCATTCCTGTAGGAGAAGGAAGGTGTAGCTGGGATGAGGACTCACTGGAGAACATACAGAGAAGAATGACTAAAATGATTTACTGTGTAAGGAATCTCCTGTATGAAGATAGACTTAGAGCCTTGAATCTCCACTCTCTGGAGAGACGTAGAATGAGGGGAGATATCATCGAAGTGTATAAGTGGATGATGAGCATAAACAAAAGTGATATTAGTAAAGTACTGAGGGTGTCAAACCAGAAATGATGGATTTAAGTTGGATAAATTTAGATTTAGAAAGGACATATGTATATGTGGAGGAAAAAAATGTTATCTATGAAGGCAAAGAAGGGAATGTATGAAAGTATAGTAGTACCAATACTCTTATATGGGTGTGAAGCTTGGTTTGTAAATGCTGCAGCGAGGAGGCGGTTGGAGGCAGTGGAGATGTCTTGTCTAAGGGCAATGTGTGGTGTAAACATTATGCAGAAAATTCAGTGTGTGGAAATTAGGAGACGGTGTGGGGTTAATAAAAGTATTAGTGAGAGGGCTAAAGAGGGCTTGTTGAAGTGGTTTGGTCATTTAGAGAGAATGGATCAAAGTAGAATGACATGGAGAGTGTATAAATCTGAAGGGGAAGGAAGGCAGGGTAGGGGTCGTCCTCGAAAAGGTTGGAGGGACGGGTTCAAGGAGGTTTTGTAGGCGAGGGGCTTGGACTTCCAGCAAGCATGCGTGAGCATGTTAGATACGATTGAATGGAGACAAATGGTATTTGGGACCTGACGAGCTGTTGGAGTGTGAGCAGGGTAATATTTAGTGAAGGGATTCAGAGTGTGTAGAAAAGAGGGAGACTACTTCCCGGTAAAAGTAGGTCTTACACAGGGATGTGTAATGTCACCATGGTTGTTTAATATATTTATAGATGGGGTTGTAAAGGAAGTAAATGCTAGGGTGTTCGGGAGAGGGGTGGGATTAAATTTTGGGGAATCAAATTCAAAATGGGAATTGACACAGTTACTTTTTGCTGTAGTCTGCATAACAGTAAATCTTATATTTTTTGTGAGAATAAAAATTCAAAGTGGAAAGCAAAAGAATATAAGAGGGGCCTTGAGACGTGACTAATGACTAGAGGAAATGTCATTTTAGTGCCAAGAATGTCTTGTTTATTCTGGACCCTATTCGGAAATTGGCATCTTTTGAAATTTGTGTGAAATTGGCAAAATTGCTAAATTCTGACCACTGTACTGGATAGTTGAATTTCATAAATGGGTGGTTTCTTGCACCCATTCGATAGAAAAAATGGAGTTCTAGCGAAATATTCATGTTTTTTGTCGACTAGTACAGTGAAATTGGCCGAAAATGGGGCTCAAAGTGGGCAAAATCGCCGATGCGTAAACATCGCCGAGACCGCTAACTTTGCGAGAGTATAATTCCGTAAGTTTTCTATCAAATTTCAAACTTTTGGTGTCTTTATGATCGGGAAAAGATTCTCTATCTTTTGATAAGAGAAAATATTTTTTTTTTTTTTAAATTTGGCCGACCCTGAGAACGAGTTTCGGAGAGGGCCTGTCGACCCTCAAAGGGTTAAAATGAGACTGGACAATATATGAATGGGAGGAGGTTGGGTAGAGGTTGTTTTAATAAGGGTCTGCCTTATATGGGCCAGTAGGCCTTCTGCAGTCTTCCTCCATTCCTATGTTAACAGCTTGTCTATTTTGTTGACTCCATGGTACATTAGTGTAGCCGCTGTCCTCTCTGGGTCTTTTTCAGGAGGGGACATCAGTGCTAGTTGCCTGTGGAGTGTCTCAGTAGCTTGGCACTCCAGCACATGCAAGTCCTGCTCAAATCCAAACCCTCTCACTCATGTAATTATCCAACCTAAATTTGAAACTACTGAAGGTTATAGCTTCAATAACCCTCATAGGCAGGTCCTTCACAAATACATCCCACTAACTGAACATTTGCCCAACCCACCTTCAATGCTACCCAAGCAATAAGAACATAAGAAAGGAGGAACACTGCAGTAGGCCTGTTGGCCCATACTGGGCTAGTCCTCCAGCAATCCAACCCGCCAACAGAATACACCTACCATCCGACTTACGACCTGCTCGACTTACGACCACTCGACTTACGACCGTGTTTTTTATGCCAAATTTCTGGGAAATAAACAACTATTTGTGTTGTACACAGTGTTTATCCTAAACCTTACAGTATAAAATACAGTACTAACAGCATAAAATGTAAAGTAAAACATGAAATACCAAAATAAAACAATAAAATAAAGTCATTACAAAAATGTGATGTTGATATTCAGTAGTAAAGTTTGACTTACGACCATTTCGACTTACGACCGGTTTCTCGGAACCGAACTCGGTCATAAATCGGATGGAAGGTGTATTTGCCCAAACCACTTTAGTTCTACCCTAACTCATGTGCAAGTTCCACTCAAATCCAACCACTCTCTCTCATGCGTTTATCCAACCTAAATTTGAAACTACCCAAGGTTTTACTTTACTTTTTATGCAGTTAGTACTGTAGCTTCTTCAGTGTTAGTACGAGTGACTTCTTCAGTATTAGGACTGAAGCCACTCGTGACAAAACGTTTCCTTTAATAAATGTCCTGAACTGTACATAAGTGTCTTTCTCCACATCACATAATTGCTACTACATAAAGGACATGCCCAGTTTGGGCCAACAGGCCTGCTGCACTGTTCCTCCTTTTTTATGTTTATGTAATAGAGAAGGGACACTGAAACATGCCTTCTCAAATCCATCCATATACGTACATTTGCCCAACCTATTTTTAATGCAGCCCAAGCCATAGCTTTTGCAACCTTTCTTTCTCATGTACCAGCTGACTTTTCCACCACATGTATAACTACTACCACCACCTCTACTTGTGTGGGCAAAACGTTGTCAATAAAGGATCACATTATACTGCTGTCAGACGCATGGTCATAAGTCGAGTGGTCGTATGTCGCGCAGGTCGTAAGTCAGATGGTACCTGTATTTATCCAACCTATTTTTAAAACTACACAACGTCTTAGCTTCTATGACGATACTCGGGAGTTTGTTCCACTCATCCACAACTCTATTGCCAAACCAGTGCTTTCCTATATCCTTCCTGAATCTGAATTTTTTCAACTTAAAACCATTGCTACGAGTCCTGTCTATGCTAGGTATTTTTAGCGTCCTATTTACATCCTCTTTGTTAATTCCTGTTTTCTATTTATACACCTCAATCATATTCCCCCTAATTCTACGCCTTTCTAGAGTGCAGATTCAGGGCCCTCAGTCTATCCTCATAGGGAAGATTTCTGATACATGGGATCAACTTTGTCATCCTCCTTTGTAAGTTTTCCAGAGCATTTATATCCATTCTGTAATACGGTGACCAAAACTGTGCAGCACAATCTAAATGAGGCCTAACCAAGGATATATAGAGTTGAAGAACAACCTGAGGACTTCTTTTTCTTTTTCTTTCAACATACCAGCCGTATCCCACTGAGGTGGGGTGCCCCCCCCCCCCAAAAAAAAAAATGAAGTTTCTCCTTTTAAATTTAGTAATATATACAGGAGAAGGGGTTACTAGCCCCTTGCTCCTGGCATTTTAGTCGCCTCTTACGACACGCATGGCTTACAGAGGAAGAATTCTGTTCCACTTCCCCATGGAGATAAAAGGAAAAGTAACAAGACCAAAAACTATTAAGTTAAAATCAAAGAAAACTCAGATGAGTGTGTATAAATAAACATGTACATGTATGTGTAGTGTGACCTAAGTGTAAGTAGAAGTAGCAAGACATACCTGTAATCTTGCATATTTATGAGACAGACAAAAGACACCAGCAATCCTACCATCATGTAAAACAATTACAGGCTTTCGTTTTACACTCACTTGGCAGGACGGTAGTACCTCCCTGGGTGGTTGCTGTCTACCAACCTACTACCTACAAATTTTTTTATGTTAATCTCCAGGGTTTATTACCTGGACCTCAGCAAAAAGAGTGGCTACTCTCACCGCTGGGCAACGGCGACCAGTTAGCTAATTGTGTTACTGTATTAATATAATAGTAATCTATGAGCTGAGTCTAATAGAGGTCTTGATCAGAACAAGTGGCACAGCTAACTTGCAATCAATAATGTATGCACCCATATATATTTTATCTGTATTGCACCTAGGCAAAATATAGTAAATGGTTTAAATTTAAGTTTTTAATCATAAACTTAAAAGCTGATATAGCCTTACCTATTTTCTCCAAACCCAATTTCTGAAGACGATCTTTGATTGTCTGCTCCAACTTGGTCTTCTGAGACTCGTCCTCCATTTTGTTTTTCACAATACGCAACTGCTGACTGCTGCCACTCCCCTAAAAAATCAAAATGTAATTTAATAAAACCCAAGGCAAGTTCTCATGATATACAAATACAGTTAAGTATTAGTAAAAAACTAAGGGTTTAGGGTGACCCAAAAATGAGGAGCATTCACCATTATTAAATTTAATCACTGTCTTGTTGGAAGTGTGCTGACAAAGTTCTGATGACTGAATGTAATGTCCCACATCTCCTTTGAGTGCAAGCACCATACTTCCCTCCTTTAGGACCCATGTCCAGGTAACGGTTTCCTGAATCCTCCATAAATGTTACCTTTTCACACTCCAAAAAACAAGTCACTCCATTATCATTTCTCATTTTGAAAGCTCTCATTATCCCCCAATGTCATTTCTCTGACTTTCTTGGTATTTGCCTTGTTTCTAAATGTTAGGCCACTTGACATGTTCCTTTTGTTTTATGAGATGGTCCTCCTGCATTTTATATCCAACCATGGATTTGATGTGGCAAATGTGTTATCATTTTTTGAACAGTACTGTTTAGATTTGCTAGGAGCATTTGGAAGAGTAGATAGCCTAGAATACTGTCTTATGGTACCCCAGTGAAGTATAATAAAGAAGACAAAAAACTGTGGCTCTCTTCCTATCACCAAAAATAGGTAATTACACATAACATGCAAAAAATACACAAAATTTCAGATACTTGCCTTATCAATATTCTTGTTAGGCTGTTTGGGCACACTACCTGTGAATAAAAGAAATTTAACAAGGCTGAATTTTTAATAAAAAAGGTGCAGCACAAATTTTTTTTTTAAACCGTCGGCTGTTTCCCACGAGACAGGGTGACCCAAAAAGAAAGAAAAACCTTCATCATCATTCAACACTTCACTATCATTCATACATAATCACTGTTTTTGTAGAGGCGCTCAGATACGGCAGTTTAAATGTCCTTCCAAACTGCCAATATCCCAAACCCACCCTTTTAAAAGGGAGCAGGCATTGTATTTCCCATTTCCAGGACTCAAGTCTGACTAACTGGTTTCCTTGAATCCCCTTCACAAAATATTATCCTCCCCACACTCCAACAGCTTGTCAGGTCCCAAAAACCATTCGTCTCCATTCACTCCTATTTAACACACTCGTGCACACTTGCTGGAAGTCCAAGTTCCTCGTCCACAAAACCTCCTTTACCCCCTCCCTCCAACCTTTTTAAGGACGACCCCTACCCTGCCTTCCTTCCCCTACAGACTTACACGCTTTCCAAGTCATTCTACTACATTCCATTCTCTCTAAATGACCAAACCACCTCAACAACCCCTCTTCAGCCCTCTGATTAATACTTTTAGTGACCTCCTAATTTCCACACTATTAATTTTCTGCATAATATTTACACCACACATTGCCCATAGACATGACATCTCCACTGTCTCCAGCCACCTCCTTGCTGCAGCATTTACAACCCATGCTTCACTCACAAAAGTGTTGGTACCACTATACTCTCATACATTCCCTTCTTTGCCTCATTGGATAACGTTTTTTGTCTCCACAGATACCACAACATATGGCTCACTTTTTTTCCTTCATCAATTTTATGGTTAATCTCATCCTTTATAAGCCCATCTGCTGACAAATCAACTCCCAAATACCTGAAAACATTCACTTCTTCCATATTCTCTCCCTCCAATGTGATATCCAATTTTTCTTTATCTAAATCATTTGATACCCTCATCACCTTACTCTTATTTATGTTCACTTTCAACTTTCTGCCTTTACTCACCCTTCCAAACTCGTCCACTAACTTTTGCAACTTTTCTTTATAATCTCCCAAAAGTACAGTATCATCAGCAAAAAGTAACTGTGTCAATTCCCATTTTGTATTTGATTCCTAATAATTTAATCCCATCCCTCTCCCGAACACCCTAGCATTTACTTCTTTTACAACCCCATCTATAAATATGTTAAACAACCATGGTGACATTACACATCCCTGTCTAAGACCTACTTTTACCGGGAAGTAATCTCCCTCTCTCCTACACACCCTGAGTCTCACTATCCTCATAAAAACTCTTTACAGCATTTAGTAACTTACTACCTATTCCATACACTTGCAACATCTGCTGCATTGCTCCCCTATCCACTCTATCATACGTCTTTTCTAAACCAACAAAAGTAATGAAAACTTCCCTACCTTTATGTAAATACTGTTCACATATATGCTTCAATGTACACACTTGATCTACACACCCCCTACTCATTCTAAAGCCTCCTTGTTCATCTGCAATCCTGCCCTCTGTCTTACCTCTAATTCTTTCAATAATAACCTACCATACACTTTACTGGTATACCATAACTTATTCCCTATAATTTTTAAAATCTCTTTTGTCCCCCTTCCTTTTATATAAAGGAATTATACACACACACACTGCCAATCCCTAGGTACCTTCCCCTTTTTCATACATTTATTAAACAAAAATACCAACCACTCCAACACTATCCCCCCACCCCCCTTGCTTTTTAACATTTGTCATGAAACCCCTCAGTTCCAGCTGCTTTACCCCCTTTCATTCTACGTAATGCCTAACGCACCTCCCCCACACTCACATTCTGCTCTTCTTCATTCCTAAAAGATGTTATACTTCTCTGGAGAGTGCATGAAATTACTGCCTCCTTTTATTCACCAACATCTAAAAGTTCCTCAAAATATTCCTGCCATCTACCCAATACTTCCAGCTCCCCATCTACTAACTTCCCTACTGTGTTTTTAACTTACAAATCCATTCATTACCCAGGCTTTCTTAACCTGTTCATCTCACTCCAAATTTTTTTCTTATTCTCAGCAGAATTTCTTTACAGTGCCTCTCCCACTATCATTTGCTCTCCTTTTGCACCCTCTCATAAGGAAAATGAACTGTCATTAGATTTCAGTTGTCCATTTTTTTTCCACTTTTATTATTTGTACATACTAGACTCCTACTGTGTGACCCTAGTCACTGAAAATTCACATTTACGTATTTTAACCCTCTGAGGGTCCGGCCCACAGTTTAATGGCTTTGAAGCCTGGGTCCAAGCCAGAGTTCTACGCCATGAGCTCAGCTCATTCAGATAAGCTGTAAGCGGTAAATTTGGGCCTAGATACAAGAAAATGCATCTACGTGGTAAGTGTGCACCATATAAAACAAATCCTGCAGCACGCAGTGCACAATGAGAAAAAAAAAAAAAAAACTGCGACCGTATTTTTTAATTAAAACAGCGACTTTGTGGTGTAGTTTTGTATGTTTTTTATGGTAGTATTCATGGTGTCTTGGTCTCATTTGATAGAATTGAAGATATGTTACAGAAATAGAGATGATTTTGATTGGTTTTAGTACTTAAAATGGCTTGAAACTGAGCTCAAAGTAGCAGAAATTTTCGATTTTTTTTTGTCAATGTTCAAGGGTAAACAAATCACATCACACATCCAATACACATCAGCTGGTGGGTTTAATGTGCATTCATGAATGTGCTGATATTGTTTATACAAGTACGTATTACAATATTGCACATCAGTAAATCTATTTTTTTGGTGTGAATAAAAATTCATTATGTGAATAAAAAAATCAAAGTGGAATTCATTTGTAAAGCCTGGAAACATAACTAATAAACAGAGGAAATGTTATTTTAGTGCCAGGAATGCCTGCATTGTTTATTCTGGACTTTATTTTGAAATTGAAATATTTTGAAATTTGTGTGAAAATGGCCAAATTACCAATTTTCGATCACTTTATTGGGTAGTTGAAATAGTTCATTGAGCATCTTCTTGCGTTCAATCGATAAAATAGAAGAAATACAATTGAAATAACTAAGAATTTGGTTGACTGGAAAAATGTAATTGGCCTAAAATGGGAGTCGAAATGGGCAAAATCGGTGATGCGCAAATATTGTTGATGCAGCAAAATTCGCAAGTGTAATTTCATCAATTTTCCATCAAATTTCGTACTTTTTGTTTTATTACCCTCAGAAAAAGATTCTATACCATTTCATAAGAAAACAAAAATTTTTTTTTTTTAAATTCTTGGACCCTGTGGACAAGTTCCAGATCGGGGGTCTGAGCCCTGAAAGGGTTAAGACCACGTTCCTATGTTCATGGATGATCTACTACTTTAACATGGTTCAAGACACACATTTAGCAATTAAAAAATGCTACTGTATATCTAATTTTTTTTTTTTATATTTTGTTAAACAATGATTTCAGTAAAACATTCTAGAAAATAACTGCAGTCTGTGACTGGTGACATTTTAATCATCCAACAAGCTGCACAAACATTTTAAACATCAGCTCTAACTTCTTGGTTTTGGTCTTTCCTTACCTACTTCATCTACCCCTCGCACTGGCATTGACCTGATTAGCCCTTCTGATTCCTTTTGTCATCCTCAGTCTGGGAATTTCTGATCTGTCCACTTTGTGGTGCTCTCCTTCCTGCTCTAGATAGCCTGTTATCGAAGAATTACCACCTTCCTCATCACTATCAACTTGTCCTTTCTTATCTTAAATCTAATACCAACACTGTCATTCTCTCTTCTGACAAAGACAATTCGGTGGTTATCTTTGAGTCCCACATCTACACTTTTTATTTCCAACCTTCTTGATCACATCAAGAGAACTTTCAACATTAAACTTTGGACTCACTCCGATCTCTGTCCTCCTGACTTTGACCTTGTTCAACGTTTCCATGTTTTATTTGTCCCTCTCTGACTTATTTCTATGGCCTTCCTGAAACGCACAAATCTGATATCCTCCTACATCCCATCATATCCTCCAGAGGTTCTGTCTTTTATTCTCTTGTCAAAACTCTCCTTTTCTTGGTAATTTTTCTCCTGCTCACCTCTATTCTTCTCAAGATTTCACTGAACGTGTTCGCCCTCTCCTGACCTGTAAGATGTTTAGTCTTAAGGCTGAATCCTTCACCAATATTCCTCTTGATGATGATCTTAATTTTCTTAGAGAGAAGGCCAATGAAGAGTTACTTCATCTCCCTATACCTACTGATGTCTTTCTTGGTCTTATTCAATCTTTGTGTGGACTTTTAACACCTTTTCCTTTCAAGGTAAATTTTATTCTCAAACCTTTGGTGTTGGTATGGGCTCTCCTCTATCCCCTGTTCTTGCTAACCTTTATATGGAATACTTCAAAACTGTTCTTCTTCCTACTATTAGTGTGTGCCCTTCCCTCTGGCTCTGCTACGTAGATAACATCTATGCTCTTTGGCCGTATGACTAGTATCTTTCAACCATTTCTCAATGTACTTAATAATCTTGCTCCTTCCATCAAGTTTAAAGTTGAATGGGAATCTAACTCTACTTCCTTTCCTTGATGTACATGTCCACTGCTCAGCTACAGATTTTTCCGTTTCTGTCATCAAAGGCCTATGTACAGTGGCATGTACATTCACTACTTTTCTTACCATGCTCCTTCTGTCAAGAAATTTTTTTTTTTTTTTATTAACACATCGGCTGTTTCCCACCAAAGCAGGGTGGCCCGAAAAAGAAAAACTTTCATCATCTTGCCAGAGGCATGCCTACACTACAGTTATAAAACTGCAACATTAACACCCCTCCTTCAGAGTGCAGACATTGTACTTCCCATCTCCAGGACTCAAGTCTGGCCTGCCGGTTTCCCTGAATCCCTTCATAAATGTTACCTTGCTTACACTCCAACAGCACGTCAAGTCCTAAAAACCAATTGTCTCCATTTGCTCCAGTCTAACACGTTCACACACGCTTGCTGGAAGTCCAAACCCGTCGCACACAAAACCTCCTTTACCCCCTCCCTCCACAACTAAGATTACATTCCGATTACATGATGAGTCACAAATAACTCGCACATAGAAGAGATGAACTTACAACTAACACTCTTCGCACTAATCTCACTCGTACCTCTCCCTCTACAGATGTTCCTGGTGTCTACTCTATTTCTTGTTCCTCCTGTCCTCTTCAATACTTTGGAGAAACTGGCCAATCTCTTTCTGACAGACTTAGGGAGCACAAAAGTAGTGTTAGGCTTGCCGACACTAACAATGCTCTTTTCTATCACGTCAGAGATCACAGCCATCCTATTGACTAGTCTTCTGCTAAAACTGTCTTCCCTACTTCCAATTTTAATAGTTGTCGTCTGGTTGAATCCTCCCTAATACACAACTTTCCTTGTATTAATCTTAGTCCTGGCTTCGTCTCTGTAGATGCCTTCCTTTCCCACTACATTGTAAAATGCTCCAAACTTCAGAACACTCATGACCTAACCTGATTCCTCCTTTTCCTTTTTCTTCTTCTCCCTCTTCCCCTTTCCTCTTGCCTTCTTCTCCTTTGGGTTGTCTTTCTTCTGCCTTGTATATTTGTTCCTTCATTATTTATTTATTTATTCCCTCCCCCTCGGTGTTCTTGCTCTTATCCTCTGTGGGCACTTAGCTCCCTTGCAGTGCTCCTCTTTCTTAGTATTTGACTTGCTCCTCCTCCTCCCTACTACCTTCTCCACTACTACTTCCTTCCACCTCCACTACTACTGCTGCTGCCACCTCCTGTCTATATATACCCATACTGCTCTCCTTTTCATTAGTGTGACTTTGTAAATAGTCCAAGTTGGACCGAAACGTTGTTGTAAGCTCCTCTCCTCTATGTGCGGGTTATTTGTGTATTGTTCCAGTCACGGTATTGTGCCTTTTTTTGTTATTTACATGACGAGTCATCTGCTAATAACTTTATTTCAGCATTTAGTGACACTGACTGGCAAAACAAGCTAGCAGAACTTCAATATTGATGAATGTGTTAATATTTTTTTATAAAAAAACTTAAACCTCTATAACATGCATTGCCCAATAACTAAGCAGATCACAGCAAAGAAACTAAACAGCCCCTGGCTTACAAACAGCATCCTCAAATTTTTTTTTTATTAACATATTGGCCAATTCCCACCAAGGCAGGGTGGCCCAAAAAAGAAAAACTTTCATCATTCACTCCATCACTGTCTTGCCAGAGGAGTGCTTACACTACAGTTATAAAACTGCAACATTAACACCCCTCCTTCAGAGTGTAGACACTGCACTTCCCATCTTCAGGACTCAAGTCCAGTCTGCCGGACTTGAGTCCCTGAATCCCTTCATAAATGTTATTTGGCTCACACTCCAACAGCACGTCAAGTATTAAAAACCATTTGTCTCCATTCACTCCTATCAAATACGCTCATGCACGCTTGCTGTAAGTCCAAGCCGCTCGCACACAAAACCTTCTTTACCCCTCTCTCCAACCCTTCCTAGGCCGAACCCTACCCCGCCTTCCCTCCACCACAGATTTATACACTCTCGAAGTAATTCTGTTTTGTTCCATTCTCTCTACATGTCCGAACCACCTCAACAACCCCTCCTCAGCCCTCTGGATAATAGTTTTGGTAATCCCACACCTCCTAATTTCCGAACTACAAATTCTCTGCATTATATTCACACCACACATTGCCCTCAGACATGACATCTCCACTGCCTCCAGCCTTCTCCTCGTTGCAACATTTATCACCCATGCTTCACACCCATACAAGAGTGTTGGTACAACTATACTCTCATACATTCCCCTTTTTGCTTCCACAGACAAAGTTCTTTGTCTCCACAGACTCCTAAGTGCACCACTCACCCTTTTTCCCTCATCAATTCTGTGATTCACCTCATCCTTCATAGACTTATCTACTGACATGTCCACTCCTAAATATTTGAATACATTCACCACCTCCATACTCTCTCCCTCCAATCTGATATCCAGTCTTTCGTCACCTAATCTTTTTGTTATCCTCATAACCTTACTCTTTCCTATTTCACTTTTAATTTTCTTCTTTTACATACCCTACCAAATTCATCCACCAACCTCTGCAACTTCTCTTCAGAATCTCCCAAAAGCACGATGTCATCAGCAAAGAGTAACTGTGACAACTCCCACTTTGTGTTTTATTCTTTATGTTTTAACTCCACACCTCTTGCCAAGACCCTAGTATTCACTTCACTTACAACCCCACCTATAAATATATTGAACAACCACGGTGATATCACACATCCTTGTCTAAGGCCTACTTTTACTGGGAAATAAACTCCTCTCCTACATACTCTAACCTGATAAAATACTTTTTTTTTTTTTAACAAGTTGGCCGTCTCCTACTGAGGCAGGGTGACCCAAAAAAGAAAAAAAATCCCCAAAAAGAAAATACTTTTATCATCATTCAACACTTTCACCTCACTCACACATAATCACTGTTTTTGCAGAGGTACTCAGAACACAACAGTTTAGAAGCATATACCTATAAAGATACACAACATATCCCTCCAAATTGCTAATATCCCGAACTCCTCCTTTAGAGTGCAGGCATTATATTTCCCATTTCCAGGACTCAAGTCCGGCTATATAAAAATAACCGGTTTCCCTGAATCCCTTCACTAAATATTACCCTGCTCGCACTCCAACAGATCGTCAGGTCCCAAATACCATTCGTCTCCATTCACTCCTATCTAACACGCTCACGCATGCTTGCTGGAAGTCCAAGCCCCTAGCCCACAAAACCTCCTTTACCCCCTCCCTCCAACCTTTTCGAAGACGACCCCTACTCCGCCTTCCTTCCCCTACAGATTTAAATGCTCTCCATGTCATTCTACTTTGATCCATTCTCTCTAAATGACCAAACCACCTCAACAACCCCTCTTCAGCCCTCTGACTAATACTTTTATTAACTCCACACCTTCTCCTAATTTCCACACTCCAAATTTTCTGCATAATATTTACACCACACATTGCCCTTAGACATCTATACAAAAAACAGTACAGAATGGGTCTAATAACAAAGGATCTCACAAAACATTACTCGTCAGTACTAACCAATCTAATAAGGAAGTCCAAAAAACTGTATTATGAAAACAGATTTCATGACATAAAAAATGATATGAAAAAGACCTGGAAAACCTTATCTGAAATTCTAGGATCAAAAAACTGTCACAAAACAGAATGATCAACTTAACTAAACCAGAAGAACCTCTCCTCCAACCAACTTATACTGCGAACAAACTAATGTCTTTTTCTCTACTGTAGGAACGAAATTAGCATGTATAATCCCAAGCACAAACATTCAACCAAAAGACTACTTCACTGGCAACTACCCAAATTCTCTTACTTTTAGCACCAACAAACCCCTACTGAAATGTCGTTGAACACCAAAACACTAAAGAACATGACAGGAGACCTAAATAACTTACCACCACTATGTATAAAAAAGCTTCTCATGTGTTGTCACCAATTAATGCAACTCTTTTTAACAAATTCATTGAATCTTCCACCTTCCCATCCATACTCAAGACAGCAAAAGTCACCCCAATCCTCAAAGGCGATCCAACTGAATTGAACAATTATATAATAGGCTTATATCAAACCTGCCCCTACTATCTAAAATATTCGAATAATTAATTCAATTTATATATGGAGGACCTGGAATCAAGAAGGATCCTCAGTAACATCCCTCGCTCAGTTACATGGATGCGGTACGTAGATGATATTTTGGTCATTGTACCCAAAAATCTTGACGTACGGGGCATCCTCAACACCATCAACACTCTGGAACCTACTATTAAATTTACACTAGAGGAGGAGAAGGACAACCAATTACCTTTCCTCGACGTTCTCTTACGCACAGGGGAAAATAAACTTTCTTTTAAAGTCTACCGGAAGCCTACCACAAGAACGATCTTCTACATTCTTCTCTCTACCATGACACAAGAACTAAAAGAGGGTAGTTTATTGGCTTCTTTCTGAGAGCCTACAGAATTTCCAGTCCACAGTTTCCTCGAAGAAGAATGTACATACATCACCAACTCTTTTAGTTCACTGCACTTTCCCCTACACTTCATACGTGACTGTAGGAAACGTGCGGCACGTATCCTCAGCAAGACCAACACCTATCAAATTGAAAGAAAAGCCTCCAAGTTACATCGTTTTAAACCGGTCAGCAAACGTTGCCACTAATGTTTCAAACATGTTTGACAGAAAACTGGCTAAAATATCTACCAGCCTTCAATTACTATTAGGAACCTGATACAAAAACCCAAGCATGATTCTGGCATAAGTGCAGGAATCTACACTATACCATGTGGGGGGTGTGACAAAGTATATGTAGGGGAAACAGCCAGAACTCTGGACATTAGAATAGCAGAACACAAAAATGCTTGCAGAAATGATGACCGCAAAAACGCATGTGTTCAACATAGAGACGATGTTGGACACCTCATGAAATTCAATGAAGCTAAACTAGTTATTAAAGAAGACGACTTAAGACGGAGAAAATGCATTGAAGCTGCACTAATTTCTGTCAGTAACACTATAAAGCAAAAATCCGGTAGTTACAGTATTTCAAAATTACTAAGCAAGAGGATATTACCCATCCTGGGAACTGGTGTTACTTGATGCCAGCAGGTCCCTCTCTTGCCTCACCTCCTTAGTTCCATTACTACTACTACTACTACTACTACTACTACCACCTCTACCCACGCGTTACCTCACCTGACTCCTGCCACTATATATATAAATGTTTTCTTAGTTTTCTCTGTATTAGGACTGAAGAAGCCACTCGTGGCGAAACGTTTCCTTTAATAAATGTCCTGAACTGTACATAAGTGTCTTTTTCCACACAATTAATTCACAAACAAGTCTACTACTACTTCGTATCCCACAACATATTAAACCTGTGTCAGTTTGGGTTCAGATTGAAAAAAAGTATTAATGATGCTATTACACATTTGCTTGAGCTAATATATTTTGCACTTGAGAAAAATGAATTTCCTCTGGGACTTTTCATAGACTTACGAAAAGCTTTAGATACAGTTGACAATGACCTTTTGCACCAAAAATTCAAACATTACGGGGTCAGAGAACACTCTCTCGATTTCCTAAAATCTTATCTTAACAATAGAACCCAGTATGTATACACAAATGGAGCCAACTCCACTACACAACCTGTTCTTGTTGGAGTCCCACAGAGGAGTGTTCTTGGCCCACTTCTCTTTCTCATTTACATCAATGACCTACCAAATACAGTGGACCCTTGCCTAATGAACGCATCGCATAACGTTAAATCCGCCTAGCGATACATTTTAACGCAAATTTTTTGCCTCGGCTAGCGCTAAAAAACTCGCTCAACGCGATTCACTTGAGACGCGTCCACGTGCGGCCTGAGCCCACCTCACTTGTTCCATGGGTGTCAGTGTTTACAAGCCAGCCACCGCGGTCGCTTCCAAGCATACAATCAGAACATTTCATATTATCACAGCCTTTTTAGTGATTGCACCTGCAAAATAAGTCACCATGGGCCCCAAGAAAGCTTCTAGAATCCAGTGCCAACCCTACAGCAAAAAGGGTGAGAATTACTATGGAGATGAAGAAAGAGATCATTGCTAAGTATGAAAGTGGAGTGCGTGTCTCCGAGCTGGCCAGGTTTTACACAAAACCCCAATCAACCATCGCTACTATTGTGGCCAAGAAAACGGCAATCAAGGAAGCTGTTCTTGCCAAAGGTGCAACTTTGTTTTCGAAACAGAGATCGCAAGTGATAGATGATGTTGAGAGACTGTTATTGGTGTGGATAAACGAAAAACAGATAGCAAGAGATAGCATCTCTCAAGCAATCATATGTGAAAAGGCTAGGAAGTTGCATGATGATTTAATTAGAAAAATGCCTGCAACTAGTCGTGATGTAAGTGAATTTAAGGCCAGCAAAGGTTGGTTTGAGAGATTTAAGAATCGTAGTGGCATACATAGTGTGGTAAGACATGGTGAGGCTGCCAGTTCGGACCACAAAGCGGCTGAAAAATATGTGCAGGAATTCAAGGAGTACATAGACAGTGAAGGACTGAAACCTGAACAAGTGTTTAATTGCGATGAAACAGGCTTGTTTTGGAAGAAAATGCCAAGCAGGACCTACATTACTCAGGAGGAAAAGGCACTCCCAGGACATAAGCCTATGAAAGACAGGCCTACTCTGTTGATGTGTGCCAATGCTAGTGGTGATTGCAAAGTGAAGCCTTTATTGGTGTATCACTCTGAAACTCCCAGAGTGTTCAGGAAAAACAATGTCCTCAAGGCTAATTTGTGTGTGCTGTAGAGGGCAAACAGTAAGGCATGGGTCACTAGGGAATTTTTCTATGACTGGTTACACCATGCATTTGCCCCAACTGTGAAAAATTACCTAATTGAAAAGAAATTAGACCTTAAGTGCCTCCTGGTATTAGACAACGCTCCTGGTCATCCTTCAGACGTGGCAGAGCGACTTTCTGCGGAAATGAGCTTCATTAAGGTCAAGTGTTTGCCTCCTAATACCACTCCTCTCCTACAGCCCATGGACCAGCAGGTCATTTCCAACTTCAAGAAACTGTACACAAAAGCTATATTTGAAAGGTGCTTTGTAGTGACCTCAGAAACTCAATTGACTAAGAGAGTTTTGGAGAGAACACTTTAGCATTCTCAATTGTGTAAACATTATAGGTAAGGCTTGGGAGGAAGTGACTAAGAGGACCTTGAACTCTGCTTGGAAGAAACTGTGGCCAGAATGTGTAGACAAAAGGGATTTTGAAGGGTTTGAGGCTAACCCTGGGAATCCTATGCCAGTTGAGGAATCCATTGTGGCATTGGGGAAGTCCTTGGGGTTGGAGGTTAGTGGGGAGGATGTGGAAGAGTTGGTGGAGGAGGACAATGAAGAACTAACCACTGATGAGCTGCTAGATCATCTTCAACAGCAAGAGGCCACACCTGAGGAAACTGCTTCAGAGGAGGGGATAGAGAAATTGAAGAAGTTGCCTACTTCAAACATTAAAGAAATGTGTGCAATGTGGCTTAAAGTGCAAACCGTTTTTGATGACAATCACCCTCACACAGCTATTGCAAGCCATGCTGGTGACTATTACACTGACAATGTTGTGAAACACTAGGAATGTCACAAAGGAATGGGAGGCACAGGCCTCTATGGACAGATATGTTGTGCGACAGAGGTCCAGTGACTCTCAAGCTGGTCCTAGCGGCATTAAAAGAAGAAGGGAAGTAACACCGGAAAAGAACTTGCCACCTCTAGTCCTAATGGAAGGGGATTCCCCTTCTAAACATTAACACCATCCACAGTCTCCCCTCCTCCCATCCCATCAATCATCACCAGATCTTCAATAAAGGTAAGTGTCATGTAACTGTGCATGTCTTCTTCAGTTTGTGTGTATTAAAATTAATATTTCACGTTGTAAAATTTTTTTTTTGTTCATACTTTGGGGTGTCAGGAATGGATTAATTTGATTTCCATTATTTCTTATGGGGAAAATGAATTCGCCTAACGATAATTTTGCCTAACGTTGAGCTCTCAGGAACGGATTAATAGCGTTACACGAGGGCCCAATGTACATCTAATCTCCATAAACCCATTTTATTTGCAGATGACACAACTTATGCTTTTTCTTACCCAAACCCAACTATGATAACAGACACAGTAAATGCTGAACTGCTAAAAATATCTACGTGGATGATTACCAACAGACTTACTCTCACTTAATCATCCTAGACTAAATACTCAATATTTAACATTACCAATAAATCTACCATTTACCTAAATCTTAAAACTTCAAGACTAGACGACCAAGTTCATATATTGGCAAATCACCACAAAGAAGTATACATACATACCAAAAGCAGCATTGCCCTTCACCAAATT